CACACTCACACACAGACACACGGAAACTCATACATATACAGAGGAGAAGAAAAGAAAAAGAAAAAGAAAAAAGGAAGGCGAAAGCAGAAAGCTGAAAAATTGTTAATACCAAAGGAAAAACGGGAAGGAAAAAGCTGGCTTTCGCGGCTTATTTTATATATATCTGTCGAATCTGAGAAACAAGCGGCAGATGAACAATTTTTTGGTAAAATGCAAGCGAAAACAAAAATAAAAAACCAAAAAAAAAAAGAAACGTAAGAAAAGTAAAAGAAGAAAAGATAAAAAAAACAACACTGTAGTGCCTACTCCCCTTAAAAAAAAGAAAAAGAAAATAAAAATAAAATAAAATAAAATAAACAACAACAAAAAAACTAAAAAAAAATATATATATACAATACATATATACATTATACATACTAAAGTAATATTTTATAAAAACGCAGAAAGGAAAAACTAAAAAAAAAAAAAACAAAGAAAAGAAAAAGAAAGAGGAAAAGGCATGGAAAGAGGCGTCAAAAACGGAAATTGCAGTTTTTTTGATAGTTATTTTTTTAGCGAGAGCAATGGGAGGCATTGAGATCTATATATACATATATATAACTAAATATACATACACAACTATTATATATATATACATTAGTATATGGTATACACACAGACTCTCACACACATTAATACATATGGCATACTTATGGCATGTAAAATAATTAGTTTCTGACGAATTAAAGACAGGAGAATTTACTAGCAGAAAACTGCAGAGAGAGCAATTTTAGGCAGTTAGTAATACTACACACACACACACACACACACACACACACACACACACACACACACAAACAACCAAATCAAATCAAACAACAAACAAAGTAGAAACAACAACAACAAAGTAGTTTTGCATATCCCAAAAAAAACAAGAGAGAGAGAGAGAGAAAGAAGCGAAAGCGGAAAAGGAAAAGGAAACGATAAAGAAAACGAGAAAGGTAGAAAGGTAGAAGGGAAAGCCCTCTAAAATGAAACAAAAGCCCACTCACACACACACAGATACACAGACAAATTTATCAAAGAAATTAAATGAAATAAAATTAGTTTTTAGCGAAAGAAAAACGAAACAAAAAATACAAGTATTTTCACAATTAAAAGCTAAAGCATATTTAATAAATTTAAAAAGAAGAACCCCAAAAACAAGCAACCCCCCAACAAGAACAAACAAATGTTTCGACTTAAGCGCAAAAAAGAATGAATAGACATTTTTAACCTTCCCGAAATCATTTCGAAACCGAAACAATTTACACAGACGGAGACCCCGCACAAGCGAAAGAGAGCTCTCAGAAACCAGAAAGCTGTAGTTGTTTTTGTTTCAATTGAGTTTGAATTGAAAATTATATGAAATATAATCAAAAAACACACGAAACAGCTGAGAAATGAGAACAAATGAATAGCAAAATAATAGGTTTAGTAAACGACGGTTGAGAAAATTTTTTAAGTTCCCTATTGAGGCTCATTCACATACATAATTTAACATATTTTTTATAACAATTATTATTTGTTTGTTTGTAGACACTTATTTTTTTAACTATTTTCTTTAAGTTTTGAAACCTAAATAAATATAAAAACCAATAGAGAACAGCTCTAGGCAGAAGCATTCCAAGAAATTTGATGAGGATTAATTGGGGGAAGCCCCCAGAGACCCAGACAAGAAGGCGAGCTGTTTTCTGCCTAACGAGAGGCGGTTGAAAGAAGCAACATATGAACCATATGAAAACCATAAATCCGTTGAGAGGTAAAACTAGAGCAGAACAACCAGATCAAGATCAAGAACCGGAAACAGAAAAAGAACCAGAACCAGAACAAGAACAAGAGCAAGAAGAAGAATAAATAGCTGCAATACGTTATGATTACGTCAATATGTTCCTACAATATAGACATACAAGAATACATAAATAATTTATATGAATAGATATATACTTAACTAACTGTAAACACAACACCACACAAAAAACAAAGCAAAAAACCACAAAAAAAGCAAATGGAAAATGGAAAATGAAAAATGATAGAAAAGAAGGAGTTATACAATAATTAATTTAAGGCATTCCGCAAAGAGAGAGCCTTCAGCAAGAGCAACTAACTAACTAAATCGAAATCTTGAAAATAGGCAGAATTCGAACGAGGTATCGTTGGCTTTCAGTTCTAGAATTGGAGGCCCCCCACATTTTGTTTCAGTTTCAGGCTTCATTTACCCATTACCCATTTTTCATTATTCGTAGACTAAGTTGAGCGATTTCCCCTATAATTTATTGAAGTATATAAATAAAATTAATTCATAAATTAATTCAAGATTACATATACATACATACAATATACAATACTATAAACGGCAATTTAAGTTCCAATCGATACACTTTAGTTTTCATTTATTTTTTTATTATTATTATTATTATTATTGATTACAGTCGAAATAAGATTTTGATATTTTGTGGCTAATAAAAAACACCTAAAAAAAATGAAAGAAACCAACAAAAAAGACAAATAAACAAAATATATAAATAAATACATTCGATCATCATTTCGTTCATTCATTCAGTCTCATGTACATTCCACACACACTCGCACACTTACAGTCACACTGGAACTGAAACTGGAACTAGTTCGCAGCAGACACAACTGTACTTTGTACGCTGTGTACTTTATAATGCAAAAGAGCTTGACGGGAACTCAACAGATATACAATGTATGGGAAATAACAACAAAATTATTACTACAAAACAACAAGAAAGCAAAAACGGAAGGTTAAAAATATTACGCTAACTATATATATTTTTTTCGTAGTTGGAATGAGAATTAAAAAAAAAAACCAAAAGCACTGAGCAAAATAATACATTAATTAAGAAAGAGCTCTCAAACTCAACTCAAACTCAACTCAAAACTCAACTCGATTCGATTCGATTCAACTCAACTCGTTTTTGGAGTTGTCCCAATGCTGAATAACGAACCATTTAAACTAACTATACAAGAACTAAGGAGAGCAGCTTATCAGGCACCAAAATAAAAAAAAAAAAACAAAACAAAAAAACAAAACAAAACAAAATAGAAGCAATCAAGATGAATATTTTAGAATGAAATGAAATTCAATTACTTACACACACACACACATTTTAGGCAAAACCAAAACCGAAAATAAACACACACATGCCCAACACACAACAAATTTATATAAAAACTATTACGAAAAAAAAAAAATGAAAGAAGAAACAAGAATTAAGATGAAAATTATTTAAGCAAAGCAAGGCATATCATAGTTTATAACAAACAAAAAAGAGAAAACACACAAGGAAAGTGAAAATGAAAAGAGAGCAAGCGAAAAAGATTCTGAACTGATTCCCAGAGACCTACCGCCTACCGAGCAGATCCCACAACCCTCCTGTATCCCTCTGAATCCCCCCTACAGAGTCCCCCCACAAAGACAGAAAGGAAAAAGTAAGGCTAACGAGAGGGAATCAAGACAGCGAGCAAAAAGGGAAGACAAATACTACACAACATAAATGATAGGAAAAACAAAAGAAAAAACAACAAATGAAACTATATGATCAGCAGGATCAAGAGCAGGATCAGTCAGTCATATATAGCTAGCTATATAGTCTATGCCTAACAAAAACATTTCTAGTAGTCGAGATCGAGCCGTAAGCGATGGAGAAAGAAAGCGAAATTTGTACCCACACACACACACACACACACACACACACACACACACACGCACAAGACCCTCTAACACACACACACACACACGTACACACATACGGAACAAATACAAATACAAACAAAGAGTAAAGAATGAAAGAATAAAGACGATGTAGCTGAAGAAGCTGAAAATGGGGGAAAACAAAAACATGAAAAAGAAGATGAAATAAAATTCTATATAAATAGAAATATTGAAAAATATTTGCCCAAAATTTGAGTTTTTATTGAAATGCAAACGAAACTGTACATGGCCCAAGCCATGGAAGGAAGTACAGGCACCCAAACGTTGAGAAATTATGAGGCAAGGCCTGAATGAGACCCACATATAATGATGCTAGAATATTGATATAGTATGTGTAATGCTTTCTCATTGTTTCGAAACGTACTGTACTGCCCTGTACTGCCTAAACATAGATATACAATACCATAATATATGAACGCACAGTACGTATCGGAACTATTTGACATTTTACTGGAGCAAAAACTGGAGATACCTCTAGGGAGTCCACAGTAGTAGCTTTTCAAGCATTCAATTGTCTTATGGTTCTGAAACGTTGTGTATGTATGTCTGATAGTCTAGAGATTTTTCTGGATTATTTTGTCCCCTCTTTTTGTTCTAAGAAAACTTTTGTGCCCAACTGTACTCAAGCATAAGTTGGTCCCCAGCCGACTTGAGAAACGTAAGTATGCATTTCTACTACTCCTACCGCTTCTTTTTCCCCCTTTCTTTCTTCCCCGCTCCCTGACCCTGTCCCTCTCCATCTTCCTCTTTTCATTTCGATTCTTTCCATATTTTCGTTTGCCAGATCTGCCAGATAGTTTTTCTATATGTACTTATAGATGTGCTTAAGTGTGTGCTTGCTTTGCTTTTAGTTGTGTAGAGAGCCTTGCATGTGTTTTACAAGTGTCTGTAGCCCCTTCACAGGATATAGACCCTCTCCCTACAAACACACACACACAAAAACACACACACACCCACAGTCACACACACACACACACACACGACACACACACACCCACACAAATACAGCATAAGCTTGAGGAATACCCCAAAAGCAGTTTAGAAGCAAATATCACTTAAAATAAAATAGCTACCCCCAAAGCCCGCCCAAACCTGCGGTCCCAAAAAGAAAAGAGAAAGCCCTGACCACGAAACAGAGCAAAACAGAGAGCAGCAGAAAGAAGAACTGCCCAACACTGTTTTGTTTAGCCAAGCGTTGACCAACACTAATGAGCTGTGAACCGAACCCTTTGAATCCCCACAGCTTCTGCGCAACTTCACCTCTCCGATGAGCGCCATGGCCGCCAGTCGCTGCCCCACGCCATTCGCCTTCCCCTTCACGCCGCTGGGCCTGAGCCTCTTCGACATCGATCCGTCCAGAATACTTAGCCTGCTCCACCACCAGACCTGGCTGGCCGAAGAGGCACTGAGGTGAGTATTGCCCAGAGATCAACTATTGAGAACTATTCGAGAACTTCTACTTGATGGTTCACAATGTGTTTGTATGCTTGTATGCTTGTATGTTTACAGGACACGGGGCCTGCTGGCAGCACCCAAGGATTTCACCCACCGTTTTACCACATTAAGCGATCTGCTGACCAAGGACTATCAGCCGGTTGTCGGCCAGTCCCCAACGACGGCCACGTCCACGGCCACGACAACGACAACGAGCCCATCGTATGCCAAGCAGACCACAACGAACCGTTCCAGCGATGTACAGTACAAACAACAACAGCAACCACCTCATGCAGGATCTGCACCAGTTGCTCCAGGCAGCGGCTCTGGAGTGGCGGCAGCCTTCAACATGCGTTACCCCACACCGACAGCCTTCTACCAGCAGCAGCAATCGAAGGCGGCCAAGTCATCGCCCTCGCCCCAGCAAATGGCCACCAGCTCCACCTCCACCTCCACCTCCATGGGCATGTCCATCTCCATTGAGTCCGGCAGCGGCGGCGACGACAGCTGCAAGCGCAGCTCGGCGGACAGCGACGAGGTGACCATCGTGGAGCTGCCCAGCGAGCGGAGCGCTCAGCTCTATAAGGAGTCGCTGGAGCAGCTGCTGCAGCGGCGCCGGATCACCAGCAACAGCAGCGGCACCCCAGTGGGGTCGGTGGTCAGCGGATGCCCGCCCACTGGCGGCGGAGGGGTGATTGTCGATGCCACCGGCCTGAGGCAGTACACACAGCTGCTGCTGTCGGGGGCCGGGACCCCGGCCAGCTGCACGGACACGTCGAGCAGCTGCAAGGAGAAGAGCTCCTCATCGTCTACCTCATCGACGCCGCCGCCCAGCTCCTCGCTGCTGGCGCAGCATCAGCAGCTCAGCCAGATGCTGAAGAGCCCCTCGGATACCTGCTCGTCGCTGTTCAGCGGCTCGGAGCCCATCGAGGAGGAGACCCGCTGCGTGGTGTGCAACGCCCACTTCCCCAATGTGTGGCTGCTCGAGCAGCACGCCGCCCTCCAGCACCCCCACGTGGGGCCCGGCGAGGAGAAGCCCTTCATCTGTGAGCAGTGCGGCCAGTCGTACCGCTACCGCAGCGCATACGCCAAGCACAAGGAGCAGAACCACCGGGCCCGCCTGCCCGCCGACAAGCTCTTCACCTGCGACGTCTGCGGCATGCAGTTCCGTTACCTGAAGAGCTTCAAGAAGCACCGCCTCAACCACGCCCTCGAGCGACTGCACGGCAAGAAGACCATCGGAGTCGTCGGACGCCTGGGTGGCTCCCTGTCCGTGTCGGTATCGACTCCGCCATCGGCATCCGCATCCGCATCCGCTTCGGTGGGGCCCGTGGTGTCCACTCAAATGGACCAGGACGTGGTGACCAGCTCCCAGGAACCGATGCTGGCCGATGAGGGCGAGGATCTGCGGGTGAATGTAAAGCGCGAGGGCGCAGACGAGGGCTCCTCCACCCATCCAGAGGCCGGCGGTGGCGGCGGTGGCGGCGGCAGTGACGAACACGAGCAGGACAACACCATCGACTCGGCGGGCATCACGATGCTCTACCAGGACAACAACTCCTCGGCCTCGGCCTCCACCAGTGCCACAGAGCCGAACATCAGCAGCTCCGATGGCATACATAGTACAAACAAGCGGGTAAGTCTCTTGCGTCTCGACCTGCCCTCACCTTACCGCCACTGGCTCTTTCAGTCGCGCCTGCACCACTTGGAAACGGATCCCTCCTACCCACACCACCATCACCACCACCACCATCACCACCATCATCAGCAGCAGCAGCAATCACAGTCGCAGTCACAGCAGGGGCAGCTGCCACCTCATCTGGGTCACCATGTCTCACTGCCAATGGCGGCCAATGCCGCGGCCGCGGCCGCGGCCGCTTCCGGTTCCTCATCGTCGTCGGCAGCCGCTGCCGCCGTTGCAGCTGCCACTGCCGCCGCTCAGGCGGCCAATTCCAGCTCAAATTCTCTGGGCGTGGGCGCCACCGGAAGTGTTACCGGAGGCGGTGCTGGTTCCGCCGGCAGCGGCATCAGTTCACTCAGCTCGCTCACGTCACTGATCAACGCCGAGCGGATACCGAACGAACAGTTCCTGGGACTCAATCCCCAGGAGGCTTCGATACTGAATTTCTTGCGCGTCGATGCCGCCGAGCGACAGCGGGACAAGCGGTGAGATTATCATTTTTCAGCACCAGATTAATCACAGATCAATAAATGGAGCTGCGTATTCCATTCACAGGCCAGCCACCTCGCGCTTCGCATGCCCCTTCTGCGGCAAGTGTGTTCGCTCCAAGGAGAACCTCAAGCTGCACGTGCGCAAGCACACCGGCGAGCGTCCGTTCGTGTGCCTCTTCTGTGGCCGGGCCTTTGGCGGCAAGTCCGACCTGACCCGCCACCTGCGCATCCACACCGGCGAGCGGCCCTACCACTGCGAGTCCTGCGGCAAGTGCTTCGCCCGGGCCGACTACCTCTCGAAGCATCTCACCACCCACATCCACAATGCGCCGCGCTGAGATGAGGCGCGTAGGAGGCGGCTCCTACGCAGATAAGGAACCAGTAGCAGTCACCTACCACACACACACACACACCCACACACCCACACACACACACACAGAGGCACAAACTACAGGAAGAGCGTATATAGAAATTTATGTATAACTTTTTGATTAGAAAACGTAAAAATGGGGAAATCTGCGTTTGTTTTGTTTGCAAACAAATTTCTTTACAATAATTTTTTTTTTTTTTTTTTTTTTTTGGTGCAAGCAAGAAAAACAAATACAAATACAACTACAATATTGACAATTATTAGCACGGATATTAAAGTGCTTAAGATCTATCCATATATGATATGAATACCTATCTCTCTATATTGTATAAATACGTGTGTGTTAAGATTGTAATTGTAATTATAAATTGTAATTGTAATTGTAATTATTGTAGCACAAAAATTTCATGTTTGTTTGCGATCGATCGTTAAGTCTACGATTAGAACGATTAAGTCCCAATTAGAACGAATTTCGACTTTCGGTTTTGGTTCTTTAAAAGATAAAACTCATCATTTTCCGCGTATCTGAACCACAAAAAGAAATAACACTAGAACATGAACAACCATATAGTACCATATATGTATGAATAGTCTGTATTTTCTACCGAAACAACATAGGGAACGACGATTGAGAAGGAGGAGAAGGAGGAGAAGGAGTATGAATATGTACCACAAATCTGCCGTTTATATACACAATAGATAAAATATATATAATTTTACATTGATTTAAAAGAGAAGCTAAACTAGCAACAATTTGTACAAACAAAAGCGAAACAGAAACTAACTAAAAGTATCAGGGAATGCCAAGGTCCTGGGCATCCTGTAGAGAGGAGAGTAAGCAAATGCAATAACTGAGAGCGAACACTGTTACCTACCATAGAAAACAATAAACCAAGTTGGATTTTAGTTAATATTAGTGACAAACGAGAGGCGAACAGGAAGGAGAATCAAAATATGTGAACCCCCATAGAGGCAGGAGACAGAACAGAACCACTAACTGAACGGTTAACCCAAGCCTAAACTAAACTAAACTAAACTAAACTAAACTGTACAACTAACTGTTTTTTGTTTCACACATACATATGTGCATGGACATGTGTTGGCTAACGCCTAAAGTAGGATTATTAGAAAGCTAGGAGATACAAATAGGATTTACTTACAATACAATACATCTGTGCATGTGCAACCACCGTCAATAGTTTAATTTACAATATACAACGCAACGCAAAGCAAATCAAAACTAAATGAAATATGAAATATGAAACATAGCAACAATTAACATTAACAATTAACAATAGAAACTACAACACAAAACTAACTGTGATTACAACAAAACAACATTGAAGTTTTAACTGAAGAAACAAACCCTACAAGCTGAACATACATAGATTATACACAAAGATGACAACCCTGGCTAACAATAGACAAACGGAATGTAACGAAATGTGCAATGAAACAATAAGACAACACTAGAGAACGCATAGGATACCCCAAGAAGCCAACCCATCCCCAAAGTATAATATTCGCTTAATTGATTCTAATTTTGTACCGAAGAAAACTGCGTAAATCAAAGGACACACCCACGAACACACCAGACAATGGAAACCTAAGAAGAACTTTCAACCAAGAACATCGAATTAAATTGTAAAATGAAAAAAACCGAAAGCCAGAAACTCCTAAATAGTACGAGTACGATAGTATATATACTATTACGAGTGTGTATGAGAACATACGATATGTAAGAAACCATTTCCAGCATTTCCATTTTGTGTGTATCAACTAAATGTCTAACAAATTAAGAAGAATGTTTGCCGTACCAAAAAATAGATGAAGATGAGGAGGAGGAGGAGGAAGAGGAGGAAGACAAGAAAACAAAATATGAGAACAAATCAAAGTAAAAGTGGTAGAAGTAAAGTAAATGAAAACTTTCACTGTGCCAAAAAGTTTCAAGTACCTCATAATTTAAATAAATATTAAAGAAACAAACAAAACAAAACAAAACAAAAAACAGCAACTAATTACACCGATAAACAGCCCACACTACCCCTCCCTCCCTCCCTCCACACACACACACACACACACACACAGAAACACACACACATATACCTTCACCCAAAAACCATATAGATATATCCCCGAAACGAAATGAGTCTAGACAGAAATTGTCAAAACGTATGAATACATAGAAGCTGAAAGCGAAATGTTAACTAAACCTAATTTACCAATTTACCAATTTACCATTTAACTGAAGAATCAAAACGACAAAGAGAAGGCTAAAGAACATTTGGGGATACGAGTAGAGCCGGCTATCATCTACTTGGGTCTACCTTCTCTTGAGTTTTTTATTTCGAATCAATCCCTTCTTTCATATTCTTTAGCGACACACACACACACAGTTCTGCCTAAATTAAGTGTTCAATTGTAGTGAATAAATATATATATTTTGTGATAGTTTAACAAATTTACTGCACCGTTTGAACTCTGAACTCTGCCTAGCTCTATTTTCTATGTACATTTGAGTGAAAAGACAAGCGAGAACATTTTTCTCATGCCACATTTTGTTCGATTGTGTGTCAGTATATAAAGCATCAAAGATCAGGGCCTCTAGCAAATGTTATAGTTATAGTTTTATCATTATTATTATTATATATTGTAGTTTTTCTTAGGATTATAATAATTTCAATGAATATTTTGGTTTTTTTGGGTCTGTGTCAAACGTGGACCTAAAGATTCAGCTTTAGTTTTCTTTTGGGTTTCGTACTATTCGATTTGAATCTTTCTTTTTATTTATTAGATTAGCAAACAACAAAAAAGAAATGCAACAAACCAACAAACAACAACACTGCCTTTTGTAAACACACAACAACCAACAAAAATGCAAAATTTTTAAACACATTTTTTAGGGTATTCCTCTTTTTTTTAAACATGTATTTAAATATTACACGATTAATTTAGTGTCCTTTTTTTGGTAAACATCACAAATGCCGCATTCTTTTTGGGGGAACAACTTCTCTCTGTATATTTCTTTTTTCCATTTTTTTAAGCATTGAATAATGATTTTTTTTTAACCACAACAACAACAACAACAAGCTGTGAGCTATGTATGTGAATGGATCAATAAATTATAATTATTATTATTATTATTATTTTTATTACAACTATGACAAATATTATTATTGATTTTTTTGGATTTATTATTTAATAGTATTTATTAATAAAGTTTTTTGCAACGAATCTTTTTGTTTGGACTTCTTCGATTATCGGGCACATCCGTCGCACAGATTCAAACACATCCGATTTCATCCGTCGATTTCTTCCTTTACTTAACCCAAAAACAAAAATCCTTAAGCTTTTCATTTTGTAGTTGAAAAATGCGCCTTAAAAGAATTTTAGGAAATTATCGTAAGAGAAAAAAAAGGAAACGCAAAACAAAAACTAAAACTAAAATGAAAATGATACTTGAAAATTCCATTTCGGTTAAAGAAAAATACTTTAGGAACACCAGAAGAAGGAAAGCAATATTAACAAAATTTAAAAAATCCAAAATTAAAACTAAACTTATAGTAATTTTTTCTTAGGTGTGCGTGCAGTAAATGTTGATAAAAAATACAAAAAACAAAACCCATATGTGGCAGAATAACCATCAGAAAAGAAAAAAAAAACAAAACAAAACTTAAGGATAAAAATCGAATAAAAATACTTGAATTTTTTTGTGAATGTGCTGAGGGATTGGAGGAGCAGAACAATTGATTTTAAGCCAACAAATTGGAGGGATTCAAGACTCTTATTTCGTATATACATACATATACATATATTACAAATTTACCATATATATATATATATATATACACACACGCATACGCACATATATATACATATATACAGACTATGTATATGGTGTGAGATGTGAGCGAAGTGTAAGCGAGGGTTTTTTTAAGGGCATTGACAACATGCAGGAAAAATACGTGTAACAGCAAATTAAATTACAAAATCCAACAACGAAAAACTTTTGGCATTAACAATTAATGCATTTTTAAATAATGATATTTATTTATATATACATAGAGTTAGGAGCCCTGTAGCGGCAGCGGCTGCGGCAGCGGCAGCAGCAGCAGCGACAAGAAGGAGAAGCAGAAGGAGGCGAAATGAATGTCAGTTGAATGTCAGATAGGAGCATAAGAGAATCCAAATATTATACGATATATAGAATATATCTATATACAGATACATAAATGTACATGTGGTTTTCGGTGTCTATTACTTATATAAATAGATATATATACATTATATACATACATCATATTATATATACATACATGACGTGCATATTTTGAAACAAAACAGAAACCAACAAAAAAATAGAAAATATAAATGTTGTTCATTTAACTAATAAACAGAAACAACTCAACCTAACAAATACTATATGTGTATACTCGTACGTATATATATATATATATTAAACCAACGGTATTCCCCTCTCCCACACATACACACACACACACACGAAGAGAAGAGGCACCCTGTATCAGTGACATTCCAACACTTCAATTCTTTTCGTCATTTTCTTAGTACTTTTCCATGAAAATAATTTTTTTCCCCCTTTTCTATAATTTCCGATCCCTTTGCAGGGAGAAAAGCTTCCTTTTCTTATTTTCCCAAAGAAAGCTTCGATATTGAAGCTCTTTCGATTGTTATTCCTAACTGTTTCGATTATCGTTCGATTATTACTCGTTCGCTATCGAATGAAATGATAGTTTCCCCCCTTTTTTGGTCACATTTTCACGGGTGCCACTGAATCATTTAGCAAATACAAGGACTTTGTAATGAAATAATACAAATTGAACGATAAATAAAAACTACGATTTCATGAAATTAAGACAATTTCGAGGTTTCACATGCAAAAACAAAAACAAAAACAAAAAAACTAACCAAAAGACATAAACAATATAATGATGTTCTATATTGTTGTAAAAATGATTTTAAGTCAACCAATTCTGTTTTCAGTGTAATTTCGTTTTGAGAACTCCATTTAATGAATCAGAAAAGGAAGAGAGCAAATTTTAACTTGTCTAAAACTCAAAAAATAAATTGTTAACAGAAACTAACTCATGTATGTAAATACATTCAATGGAAACCATCTCGAAACTAACAACAAATATGCAACAAAAATATTTATATTGAGGCTGGAGGGAAGAGCGGTAGAGCGGAAGGAAAAGAAAAGCGAAACCCAAGAAGTAAGCATAATTAACATAAAATGTAGTACATGCAATATATTTTTCGGTGTTAGGCGTCTTTTTGAGATTTTTACAGAATACCAAACAAAAGTCCCTCAAAAAAAAACAAAACAAAACAAAACCAAACAAAAAACCTAAAAGCAAAAAAAAAACAAAAATCTATAAAGTAAAATATTTCATTGTTGATGTTGTGAGCAAAACCAATTAAGAAACCTAAACAAAAATCAAAACCCAAACCGAAACCAAAACCAAAACCAAACAAAAACTAAATTAAACCAAAGCAAAGCAAAACTAACTAAAAGTAAAATTTAACAAATGTAATTGTATTTATGTCTCTTACTGTCTCAAAAGTCTCTCTCACCTAAGCTCTAAACTTTAGCTGTCGTGTCTCTTCAAATATTTATAGAAGTTTACATAAGTCTAAGGAAGCGAGTCATTCGATTGAGATCGAAGGAAAAACAAGAGAAGAACAAGAAGGAGAATGTTTCAAACATTGTTTTTTTTTTTATACATAAAATACAAACAATTTGGTGTCTACAAAATATACGAAAAACTTAAGAAAGCTAAGGAAAAACAAAAAAATTTTTAGATCAAATTCAAGTGGTTAAAGGCAAAAGGCAGAGCAAAGCAGAAGCAGAAGCAGGCAGAAAGATACTGGTAATGGAAAATGGAGAATGGAAGTGGAATATTGGGAGGAAAATACTTAGCAATAATTCTGAAATGACCTCAATCAAATATTTTTTAAATTTTATATATTTTACTCGTGCGAAATGAAACCTAATGTGTAAATAAAACTTAAAAAAACATACAAAACGAAATAGCAAAAAAATGAAAAAAAAACACGTAAAAATGTCTCTCGAACGAACGAAGTAAGAATGTGATATTTTTCTAAGGTGTACTACAAAACAAAAACAAAACAAAAAAAAAACCAAGAAAACAAAACCAAAAAAAGACAAAAACCAGAAGAAAAACGTAAAATCAAAGTGGATAAAATCGAATAAAATATTTAACACTTTTACTGAAAACCAGAAATAGATCAAGCCCACATAAAATAGAACAAAATGCAATAGAGACTGATTTTTTGACATCATCACATCAGCAGCATCAGACATCACAGACATCAGCATAAAATCATCATCAGTAACGGTGAATGAAAGTAGAAAGTCAAAAGAAATTTCATTACACAAGGGATGGTGTGATTTCCTCAATTGGTGACCCCGAATGGATTCTTCGTTTTCCTCTTTTTTGGGTTTTGTCGATTAACACATTAGGGAGAGGGATCGAGAGAGGGATTGGTAGAGAGTTGGAGTTCGTGTGAAGGGATCGGAATTAATGGAACCAATTTGGAACGCATTGCGTGGTTTAGATTTAAACGAAAAATGGGACTTTGAAGCAATGTTAGTTTAAGCCAGATGCTGGATAGGTACGACCGGGGATCGAATGAATGAGTAGGAAATGAGAATGGAGGATGGAAGATGGAAGAATGAGATGCATTCGCGAAGAGTTGTAATTATTTTTGTGATAAAATCCGAAGCGCAATTTTTTTCTCCAACTGTATGGTAGGTAAGTGAGGAGCAGAGGCGAGTGCAGAATTCTGTATATAGACAGGGGGCGGTTGAGAGTGAGGATAGTGGGAAGGGTGAGGCTATAAGGGACGGATAATGGGAATGGGAATGGGAATGGGATGGATGAGAGTATGTTTATGACGGTGCTACGAACAAAGACGTAATTGAAAATGTGATACAGTTTTTTCCTTAACCTATTTATTGAACGGTACGCGGAAGGGCGCAGAAGAGAGCAGGGGATGGTGAGGAGTTGCGGAAAGGGAAACGGAAACGGAAGCGGTAGCGGAAGGAGCTTAGCATTATGCTTTAGAAGGTAAAAGATTTCTATTCACCATTTTCACCATTTTATTATTGTTTACTGCAACGGAAACGGATATGGGAACTGAAACGGAAACGAACACTGAAAAGGAAACGGGAAGCGAAAGGTCAAGTGAAAGATGAGTGAAAAATAGGAAAGAATGTGGCATATGAGTTTTGCTTTTGGTTTTTATACTTCATCGCTTCGGTTCGGTTCGGTTCAACCTTCCTTCGTTGAGATATCGCTGAGATAGCAAAAAGCAGAGACACAAAACACACACCACCATTCACCACCACAGAAGAAAAAACAACCACAAAAGAGCAGAGAACAGCAGGCCAGAGAATGATGAAGAATATTGTAAAAAATTTACACTTTAGGAAAATCTCTAAATTTTAAGCTTTCGGTGTTTTTAAACCAAAATGAAAATGAGTAAAAACAAAAATAAAAACCAAAAAAAAACGTAAAGAAAAACCTACAATAAACAATGGTAAGCAAAAAAAATAAATAAAAATTAAACCACAAAAAAATTAGCGAAAAAAACACAACAATTTATATATATATATTTCGATATTTAAAATTTCATTCGGAAAGAAAAGAAAAGCAAAACATTAACAATTTTGAGCAAACTCTCGGTGTTTTAAAATTAAGCGCATGCAAAATGAAACAAGAAAACCAAAACCAAAATGAAAATGAAAACAAAAACCTAAAACATTACACTAAACAACAACTTAACACAAAAAAAAAGGTAAAACAAAATATGAATAAGTTAAGTAAAACAGACGTAAACCAAAAACAAAAACCTCTTTCACTTTCGTGTCTTTGACTTAAAACCAAAAATTAAAACAGTAAAAAAAACAACAAATATTAAGCATATTTTTAAAATGTAATTTAGCACAAAAAAAAAACAAGAAAATATGAAGAAAAAAATATGGAAAACACAATTTTTAAACTACCAAAGTATTGATGTGTATTTGATAAACAAAATCCAAAATGATAAAAATGAAAAATGAAATGAAACTAAGCAAAATTAAACAAATTATTTGTTTCCACATCTCAAATATTTCGAATCTTTGCGTTTTTCGGTTTCGAATCTTGCGTTGAGAACGAGAAAGAATGGAAAAAAAACAAAACTTTTACAAAACTACGAAATGCAATGCCTGCCAAAGAATTAATGTTTTTTAATGCAAAAATGCAATGAGAAACACCAAATCAAACAAACAAAATTAAATTATATGTAAAACCAAAAGCAACAACAACAACAAGAGTTCAATAAAGCCGTTCCAATGATGAAACCAAAAAGAAAACTAAGAGCAAAAACAAGCATGACAAACAAAATCAAACTTGTTCGCAAAGTTTTTGCGTTTCCTTATACAAGACATTTATGAAAGAAGAAAAACAAGCACGAGAACCACGAAAAACATTTTTTTTGCAAGGAAAGGTAAAGAAAATAACAAAATGTGAACAACTATTTGTCGTGTACAAGACCATTTATTTGTATTAAACTAATAAAATGAAGTGTTTATTGGTTTATTTTTTAAAAAGAAATAACACCACCATTTTTATGCATTACATTATAAAATGAAGCCACAAACAAATAAAATAAAATAAATTACAAACAAAAACGTTTACTTTGAATTTGAATTTAACTTTCAATTCGAATAAAACTTACTATTATTTCTGTCGATGTGGCAGCCCACTGAAAGTATCCCAGGCTCACACAATTTGCGCCTTTTTTGTAGTCTTTTCTAGTATTTTTCATCATGCCTCGCCTCTTGTCCAATGCACCAATGTAGAGATCGAGTAGAAATACCACATGCAGCCATGTCTCAAGCCACAACGAATACTATTTCGCGGTCAGCATTGAGTTCCTGATGTTTGCCAGCAAAATCTCAATTCTTCAAAAATATCGCGAAAATTCCTGTCAAAAATTGGATCAATTTCACAATGGCGCTTCCATGGGACTTATATGAAAAAAAACGTAAACAAATTTTATCAATTTTTTACCTTCAGGTGGTGATTTTGATAGTCAAATGTAGTTAAAATGTAGCAAATTTGTAGTTAGCGTGTAGTTACCATGTTACAAAAATAATCGGCTAAGTTGTTGACCATAATTGAGGCAAAAACAATCAAAGCAATCGCCGTAGAAGAAAAACAACTCAAGTATTTTAAATGAACCAGTCAAATAGAAAATTGATTCATCAATCGTATGAAATTATGATGGCATGGCTTAATGTTCTATATAGCTAGTAATATTCAACGGAATATTAAAATCGAGGAATATGTAAAACAGAACTTGAATTCGTCAGTATATTTACGGTATATTTTTTAGATGAGATGGTATATTTTGGTATATTTCTGAGGGTTGGACTGTATATCTTATCGATACGCACTTACACTGATTTGCCGCTAAATTTTTTGAGCTTGACGTCGTTGTGTTGTTGATTTGATTAAACTTTTGCTTAAGCCGATAGAAAAGCAATGGATTTGAATGATATTTTTGCACTGAAGAAGCTGCTCGATAAAAATGTTGAAAAAATTCACGCCAAATTGGAAAACGTGACGCGTCACTCGGAGATTTTGTACAAAATTCTGGACGAGCGTTGGATGAATGTGGTTAAAGGGGATCGAACACTTATCGGTCTCCACGATGCCTTGCTAAGCAGCATGAGTGGTGTCAACGAATGTTTGATCAAGTGCAACATGCAAATTGATCTAAACAATCTCGAACCAATTGTCGCCAACATCGGCGATAGTCTGCAGCGCAACGACTTCATGATGCACGCTTACAAAGATGGGATTGAGAATTTATTGAATAAACGTCCGCAAAGACTACCGGCAATCGAGCAAATGACGGACTCCCAGCATATTAATCAAATTGATGGGCTTTCGTTCTCCATGTGCTCCAGTAGGATGATTAAACCTGATGCGGGGATCCCAAAGCAACAAGTAGAGCCCATTACGGCCCCACAGTCCACTTCAGCACAGCCACAGGACTCGGCCATTGCTTCCGCTGATGCAAAAGCTCTGCCTTCTATTTCAACAGGCAAACGAATCCTTAAGCCACCGAAAGGCGGAAAAACAACACCCAGCAGTGAAATCTATCATCAGATCGTGAAGAACGTAGCCGCGTTTCCAGAGGGAAGTGTGATAAATGCCGCCGTGATGCAAGTAAACATAGCCAAAAAGTGTTTCTTTGTAGGCATGTGGGATGCAGAGCGGCTGCAAGAGTTGTTCTCGGGGAAGTTACATCTTAAGGAGTTGGACCAGCTTCCCAACTTCGGGGAGATCTTTGCGGTGTACGATTGCAGCGACGGGGTCATTCCACGTGTCATAATCAATGATTATGCCGATGGGGGTGGCTATGATGCCTATTTGATTGATTTCGGCGAGCATATACATATGAATGGCGACGAGACTATATATGCCCTACCAGATGACATACGACTGCTGCCGGCGGAGGCCATCAGATGCTTCTTCAGAGAATGCAGTGTGTCCCATATAGCCCATCTCCGATTCAAGAAATTGACCTTGTGTGTTTTGGAAAAGAAGGGCGATGATTTAATAGTGGAACTGGTTGATGAAAGCGCAAACAAGAGTCGTTGCAAGAATAGTCTGTCCAAAGCAGCTGCAGCCGATTCTATTCAAGATCAGTCCGTGCCAGTCCCTTGCCAAACAACCAACCCAAATGGGGCACAGATAAGCGAGGCGGACATGGCCATGCTAAACGAGATTGACGAAGGCACCAGTGACCCCTTAAAGGCTGTACTGGGCTTCAGACCCAAAGACGAACAACGAATCTGTCGGCATTACGATCCGAAGATCAAAGGCTGCTTCAAGGGTAAGTCTGTGTATAGAGAATATTCAAAGCTCTAAGAAGAGTTGTAATCTAACTCATGTTTCACCTTAGGTAGTAATTGTCGTTTGGTGCACGAGCCCTTTGCACCTGACGGCACCACCAAGGACTTGGAGGTGGTAGACGCTCTGCCCGAGACCGTGTTTGATACTCCGCTCGTACGAGAACTAGGAAAAATTGTGAAAATGCTGATAACCTACGTGAGTACTACCACTGTAGTCTATGCCCAACATGTGGATGGCTCTCCTCCTCTGGTATGGACCAAGGACGATGTCTTACGGGCCAAGAGTCAGTTTAAGCGGAAGCCGCATATGTTGGACATTGTCTTGGCTCACTACAACGATGGCTGCTATTATCGCGCCCAGATCATCGAGGAATCGGACAATGACTATAAGATATTTTATGTTGACTACGGCAATACAGAGTTTGTGACCCTAAGCGCTCTGGTACCTTGTGGAGATTTTGACAGAATGCGGCCTCATCGCGCCGTTAGTTGCTACATAGAAGGCGTCGTGCCCAAAAGCTCCTTGTCCCGAAAAAAGGCCGTCGAGTGTATGGAGTATCTCAAAAGCAAAATACTCAACGTGGAGGAAGACGTGATGCTGGTCAGTCGTCTGCACGATTGCTTTGAGATTCGATTCCTTGGCGACAATGCCGATCTGCCCGAGAATCTGATGAAGCGCGGCTATGCACAGCCCAATGAGGACGGTCCTACACCATATGATTCTGATCTTGATCAGTAAACGGATTTCCATTTCCTGTTATAACATAGTCATTCATATAACATTTCTTTAGTCCTCAACTTTATTTTTTTTCATTCGATATGAATTATGCTGCCGCCAAGAGATAAATGACGGTGAGACAACAGCGCAAGCAGCCACAACAAACATAGCAAACATTGACAATTCTTATAGATTGGGAAGACTGATTTTCTTCCTGTAAGAGCCACCTATTTGTGTCCTATTTAGATAAGTTTGAATTTTATATCCTTTTTTTTGTACTTCCATACCAAATAAACAATACATACATATGTATATGGACACGAGTATATTCCTCATTTCTCTCACGATTTTTTGTTTGCAAAGGCAAATGACGCTTCCAGTATTGAAGCACAATTCGCACATTTTAAAGTCATCTATATTATGATTGCCGAGGAAAAACACAACAGGTAAAAACGGCCAATACAATTTTCCATACTCCATAAATATGCTGTTATATGTAGAAAATGTGTAGTTGCCGTGTATATAATACCATGTAAAACACAGGACATTTGTGTTAACCTTCTTTGTTTAAACCTAATTTTATAAACAATCCAATATAGGGAGCCCAGAAATGAGCCCATTTTGTAGATTCATCAATCGGATAAAATTATGTGTTCAAGGCTGAGGGTCCTAGCTAGCTTGTAATATTAAACCGAATATCAAATCAAGGAATACTGTCAACCAGTTGGTATTTTAATACACACACGAATAGGAAATTTGAAGTATTTGATTACAGTTCAGGTTCAGTTCAAGTAGTCATGCATATTATTTTCAAATTAATTTACAAGGGGAATTGAAAAACAGTATTAATTTGCGCGGTTTTTTTCAAGCTGTTCACCTGTTTAAATACTTTTCGGTCTTTCGTGACATCGGTATTTACCATGAAATGGTATCTAGTGCCATATTTGATCATCTTTTTGGTGTATAATGGTATATCTGATCCACTTTTTGGTATATTACGGTATATCTAAATTTTCGAGTTCTCGAATTTTCTCGGAGGTAAGTTTAATCACAACTATATAAGAAATGATTTAAGAATACAAATATTTCAAATTTAGAATATATAAGAGGTTGTCTAAGAGACAAAAACGGTTGCTTTTCCAAAATTCCAATTACTATTTTATATTAATAAGACCAAGAAAGAAGGCAAGTACAAGATATCTTTTTTCAAAACATTTTTTCAGCGGTAAACGTACGGTATATTTGGAAAATGACACGGTATATTTCACAGGGTCAGACGGTATATTTCTTGTCGAAAAGTCCGTGGTCACACTCGTCCCCACCAAAAAGCGGTTCAAAAGCAACTTGTAAAGCCAAAAAAAGGGCATTTTCGCATTTCCGCACAACCACGAAATAGCAGTATTATTTTTTGACTACTCTGTTTTTTTTGAATGTGTATTTATACCTGTGAAAGAAAGTGTAAGAGCATTTGAGGCAGCATAATAATAATCTGAAAATTGAGTGTGACAACATCTGCACACTTGGAATTGCCGCTCGCCAGTCGAGTCGCCCCATCCATCCATCCCGAAGGTTCCTTCAACGAACAGAACACGAGCAAGCATAGCAAGAACTTTCCTCCCCACCCTTCACACCAAACGGAGTGTACGCATAAATTTCAAATTTCAAAAGAGAATCCACAAATTATCTGAGGCGGGACAGAGGAAGAGGAATAGGAATAGGAAAAGGCGAAAGGACAGTGAAGCGGAGAGGAGTGGAGTAGCATGCAGAGGAGCTACGCGGATGCTTTGAGCGCCAAGGGATATCGGACCTTTGGCTTTGACACAGATATCGAAATGGACATGGACATGGGGCACGGTCCGCTCAGACGCATCGAGAAGCGCAAAGGCGGTAAGTGCAAGTGCAAGTGTGACGTGTGTCTGTTGCTGTGTTTCCTTCACTCTTTGTGTGCATTGACTTTTGCGCTATACTATGCATCTGTGTGAACCATAATTTACTGGTCATTCTTGCTGCAGCGGCGCTCGTAGCAGAGCAGCAAATATTTCAATATTTCAATGCTGACGTGCTCGAGAGAAGTGGTATGAAAGAGGCCAACACATACCGATTTGGCCAAGTAACCGCATATGTGTATGCCTGTGTCTGTCCTTGTGAGGGTGTGCTTGTGTGTGTTGTCCCCCCACAGGGTGTGTATGTTGGTATTGGTGTGTGCAATTACTGTAATCGTTTTGGAACGGCGTGTCAGTAACTATGCATAAATTATCCTAGGGTATTATTCTCGTACGCCCATTCCCATCCCTATTTGATCTCCGCACATGATGATGACGTTTCCATATTATATCTCAATTTTGCACTGTAGCTGGGCATAAATTATCCCCTCTATGGTGAGTGGGGGGCATGTAATGATGCTTTCACATATTTTCTTTACACTTTTTAAGGTAATTCATGATTTCTGTTATCCAAATTATGCCTAGAGTACGACTATTCAAAGAAAATTCTTGCAGAAGAAATTTTCATTTGATGATGAAGTGTCGACCTTTTAAGAGTACACTATGTATATATTTTCTAACAACATTTTGCGATAATTGCATTCTAAATCTATTCGACCTTTCCCCCTATTTTTTTTTTCGGAAATTCCTTTGTTTTTCTTAAGTTTTTCGCATATTAATTGTTAATTTAGCAAACAAGTCAATGGGGGGAAAAACCAACACGAACAAGACAAATATGTACGTCATACACTCCCCTGTAAACAGAAGCAAGCCATTTAGAAAATTGGATGTTGTATGTACATATGTACATGAGGGCCTGTCATGCAAAGAACTGTATACATATAACATAGTGTGTGTGTATTTGTATGTTGGCACCTTTTTTGCCAATTAAACGCTGTTTGCATTTAGTCACCGCGGCAGCTCAGCCCCAACCCAAGGGCAACCCGAAACCCAAACAACTTCATCTTAATTGTGCAGTCCAGTCCAGTCCGACGAGCCAAGCTTTCTGGTAATCTTATCTAATGCATAGAACGACAAGTTTATTGTTTGCTCAACTAAATTTATGAATGCTTGAAAGACACGTGGCCTATCAATGGTTCCGGTCACACACAAACAAATCTCTCCTCGGAGAGCGGTTTGTTCTGGAAGATATTTCAAAGATAGAGCATTCAGAGCAAGTCTGATGGCTTGAAAAATCGATAGCATAACCATACCATATTTACTATATGTATGTATGTATCTACTCGATAGAGTAATCCCAATTTATAGAACTAAAATCTGTGTTGGCGACCCCCATAGTCGGAATATTTACTTTCATATTTCTGCTGTTGTCTTGATATGCGTCTCACTGTTATCAGGCCCCTCCAATACTCCTCTGACATTCTTATCAATGGACTATAAATAGCTGCACAATGAAAAACATTCAAATTCAAATACTATTCATAATTGGTGTTCGCAATTCCGTGGGAATAGTCGGCGTAGAATGAGGCTCCGTCTATTGTCCACTCAATCTGCCATCTAGTATCTTCTTCGAGCGTATTGTATGTAGTGGTGCAAGTGGGGTCCCATCAGTCGCCCTGTCGTCTGACATGTGTCCACTGTGCCCCCCCGGTATCAGAAAGCGGCGATGGTGTGGGGGCGGTACGAAATGCTCATTAGAAGCAGCTGGCTTCCGTCAGTCGTAGGCATAGGTCAGGGTTTTCCAATTAGAAACAAATAAAGAGAAAGTGAGAGCAACAAAATTTCCCACACATTGGCGTGATTCACCGTTGCACCTCGTTCTCGTCTCCTCCCCTCGCTCGCAGAGGGGCTCTGCCTAAGCTTCTAAATGATTTACTTGTAGGTTCCGTTCTGGCCGCTCTCTTTAGCGAATCTTCTCTCTCTTTGGCGGCGTGGGCGGTCGGCGGTCGGCGCTCTTTGGGGTATACTGTCTCTTCAGTTCTCCTCACAGCAGCAGTTATTCAAGCGGAAACAACTCTCTTGTTATTACCATTATATTATATGTACAATATTCCATATTGCGGTGGATAGAACTGACTCTGAAAAGTCAGTATATTCCGCGGAGTCGAGACGGAAGGAAACAAACGCCGAGGTTTCCTTTCTTCCTTCCTCTTTGCTTTTGGGAACGAGAAAGTTACGCAAGCGAGCCAAGCGGCGGCTAAGTTCTGACAGTACGAGTATTTATGAAAATCAATTTTAGATCGGGAATCGGGCAAAGTGCCCAGAGGGCCCACAGAGAGGGTGAGGGAGAGGGAGAGGGAGAGGAGACCCCCGCAACGCAGCAATTAATAAGTTCGCATCGCAATTCGGTCAATAAACAAAACAGAAAACAGAAAACCGAAAGAACAAAACAAAACACACTGACGATGCCAAAAACATGCATATAAGCACACAATCGAATAATAAATTAAAACGTATACGAGATAAGCAGACAGATATAGCTATATCTATAATGCTTCATATATATATGTATATATACATATATATACGTGTGTGTGTGTGTGTGTGAGAGCAGACTGTTTGCATATCGCACACTCGACAAATAAGGCAAACGAACTGCGATGACTTGCAGCATTCCCCTGCCCCTCCCTCCCCGCCGCCCACGAAAAACGGCGAAGTTGAATAAACCGATTTACTTATGAAGCTATCATCCAAAATACGCACATACACACAATCTAATCCAAGTTATTAGCAGCTTAGCGCTAAACCCTGTCCCGGCCTAGCCCTCCCGTTTAGCCCATTTAGCCGGTTATTGTCCCTAAACGTTGCTAAGTGCCGCCAACAGACAGGGCGAGCCCCTCCTACCCAAAGGAAAGGAAAATTACCAGAACCACTACTGCTGTAGGTGTGCACACAGCCGGCAGATAGGTGGAATGATAGATACTCATCAGCGACCATGAATATGGATCGATACTATATCTAGATTGTGGATGTTTTCTATCTTTTCCCTTGAAAAACATTGATTGGAATCTAAAGAGTGCACTATAGTATATGTATATAGTATGGTATAATGCAGTTTTGTTTGTCCAAAAAATTGTTTATAATTAGCTAAAATTAGCGAGGAGAGCTTTTCCTGAGCGTGAAAGCTCTCTAGCCTCTCACTCCCGCTATCTTTTCTCAGAACTAACTTTTTACCCAGCGTATAAACTTTGGATGAAAAGATCAACACATGTACATATGTATGTACATGCTCGTATGTGCCACAGAGAGAGAGAGAGAGAGAGAGAGAGGTGCAAACAAGTGTCCCAAGGCAGAGTCGGAGACAAAGGCCAGAAAGTCGCAGGGAAAACCAGCGGTGGCGCGTACATATAAGATCTGTGAGAATTGCGT